GTATTTCTGTAGTACCTTGTCCTTTATATTAATTAAAAATTTTAAGCTTTAAAGAAAGTAATATATGCATATGGTAAAAAAAATTTTAAATGGTAGTAAAAAGATATAAAATGGGAAATAAATGTCTCCCTTCTAATCTCCCATCCCAACCTAAACCCCGGTTCCTGTCCCCAAATGTTAACAGTTTTAGAACCATCTTTCCCTGAAATGTTTTCTGTGTGTGTCTACACGTTTTATGTATATGTTTTTATTTAAAAGCATATCACAGGGACTTCCCTGGCGGTCCAGTGGTTAAGACTCTATGCTTCCACTGCAGGGGGCACGGGTTCGACCCCTGATCAGGGAACTAAGATCCCACATGCCCACTGTGCGGCCAAAATGAAAAAGTATTCAAGTAAGAAAAACAAAATTTTTTTTTAATGTATCACAGAGTTCTTTTCATACCCACGTACACAGACCTGCCTCATCATTTTTAGGGCCACATGATATTCCATTTCATGATTATCCAGGGTGACAATTTACATAAGCAATCCTCTACTAATGGATATTTAGGTTGGCCTTAGTTTTTCTCAAGTTAAAACAGTCTGCAGAGACTATCCTTATTAAAAACACTTTTGTATACTTAGAAGGATAGCCCTCAAGTAGTTTCCTAGGAGTACAATGCTCACGTCAAGAGGATGGGCATTTAAACATCCTCTTGACCTGAGAACAGATTGTAACCAAACTGCCCTCCAAGGTTGAATCGGTTTACATTCCCACCAGCAATGTCATGGGTGCTTGCTTGTTTGCGCATATGTCAATTCCGGCAGTATTAAATTTTTTAAACATTTGCTGATCTGGTGGGTCAAGAATATTACATTGTGGTTCTGACTTGCATTTCTTAAATTATAAGTAAGGTGGAGCATCTTTTCATTTGCTTGTGGAATTTGTATTTGGTTTTCTGTGCATTGCCTATTTATCATTCTTTGCCTGTCTTTCTTTTGAGCTGTTGCCTTTTTCTACTAGATATTTTTGCATTCCGTAAGTATTAAGTTCCTACTACATGGTGAGCAGTATGCTGGGCACTAGAGCTCACCATTGTTGGTGAGGAAACACCACTGTCTTTGCCCTTTGGGAGCTTACAATACTGGGACACAAACATTAACCAAGTCATGCTCTGAATGGGTGTATGTACAGACTGAGTTAAGTGCCCTGAAGGAAAGGCTCTTGCATCTCTTAGAGCATGTGAGAAGAGAGAGACCTGGACTGAGGGTAGGAGAAGATTACCTGAAGTAGCTGACATCTAAAGAACAAATAGGATTTGTGGTTAGGGAAAGCATTTCTGGAAGAAGGAACAGCATTTTGGAGGGAATGTGATGTATCAGATGAGCTAAAAGAAGGCCAGGGATCAGAGCACAGAGAGTAGAATAACAGTGACACAAGATGAGGCTGGACTACATCACCTGGGCCCTGACCCCATTGATGATTGAGGGGTTCTTCTCCTAGAGAAATAGAAAGTATTGAAGGATTTTGAGCCACAGTTGGTTATCAAATCTGCATTCTGAAAAGATCACTCTGGCTGAAAAGAAGGTAAACAGGAAGACCAGTCAGAAGGTTTTTGAGTTAGTCCATATGAAATCTGATGGTACCTTGGCCCTGGATTATGACAGTGGACATGAAGAGAAGTAGATGAGGGCTTCCCTGGTGGCGCAGTGGTTGAGAGTCCGCCTGCCGATGCAGGGGACATGGGTTCGTGTCCCGGTCCGGGAAGATCCCACATGCTGCGGAGCGGCTAGGCCCGTGAGCCATGGCCGCTGAGCCTGCGCATCCGGAGCCTGTGCTCCGCAACGGGAGAGGCCACAACAGTGAGAGGCCCGCGTACCGCAAAAAAAAAAAAAAAAAAAAGAAGTAGATGAGTTCAAGAAATATGGAGAAGGTCAAATAAAATGTGATGATGGATGGCATATAAGGGATAAGGAAGGGAGGAAGTGTCCAGGATGATTCCTAGGTTCCTAATTAGATGGATGGTGATACCATTTACTGAAATAAGAACCACCATATGATCCAGCAGTTCTACTCCTGGGTATACATCAAAAAAAAACTAAAACATTAATTCAAAAAGATGAATGGACATAGCAGCACTATTAACAATAGCCAAGATATGGAAGCAAACCAAGTGCCTGTCAACAGATGAATGGATAAAGAAGATGTGTGAGATATATATATATATATATATATTATATATTCCATTACATATATATATATACAATATTACTCAGCCATAAAAAGAATGAAATTCTTCTATTTGCAGCAACATGAATGGAGTTAGAGAATATTATGCTAAGTGTAATACGTAGGACAGAGAAAAACACTATATGATGTCAGTTATATGTGGAGTCTAAAAAAATAATATAAATGAATGTATATGCAAAACAGAAATGGACTCACAGACATAGAAAACAAACTAGAGGTTACCAAAGGGGAGAGGAAAGAGAGTATAATATGTAAAAATACTAAATCATTATGCCGTAAACCTGAAATTAATATAATATTGTAAATAAACTATACTTCAGTTAAAAAAAGAAATACTGGAAGAGGTCAAGGATGAATTCAGGCTTACACAACACATCTGAGTGAAGCTGTCAAATAGCTAATTAGATATAAAAGTCTGGGACCAGGGAGTTCCCTCGTGGTCCAGTGGTTAGGACTCCGCACTCTCACTGCTGAGGGCCTGGGTTCAATCCCTGGTCAGGGAACTAAAATCCCATAAGCCTGGGACCAGAGGAAAAGTCTGGATTGGAGACATAAATATGGAAGTCACTGGAATATAGTAATTAAAGCCATGGGCAAAGATGCAATCACCCATGAAAGGAGTACAGCACCCAAATCAGCTCTACTCTGAAGCCTTAAGGAACACTAACGTTTAATGGCCGAGTAGAGAAAGATGAGACAAAAAAAGAAAGAACAGATGAGCAGCCCGAGAGCAGGAGGAAAACCAGCTGAGCGAGGTGTCCCAGAAACCAGTGAAAGAAGGTTTCAAATAGAATGGAGCAGCCAGTAGTGCCAAATGCTGCTGAGACATCTAATAAGAGGAAGGCTGGAAAATGCCCATTGGAATGGGCAACATGGAGGTCCTGGTGACGTTCATTTGAATTGTTACAGTGAAATAATGGGAGCAGGAGTCAGACTGGAGATGATTGAGAAATGAATGGGAAGTGAAAACACAGAGACACCATATGGACCACTCTCAAGAAGTGTGGTTTTGAGAGAAAACAGCCCCAAACCTATTCATCCTCAGTCTCTACTCTTGACCCTTCCTTGCCACTCAGTAAGCTGAAGTGATTTTCTAATTTGGTATTTGATGTTCCACAGCTGTGGTCTCCCAGGAGCCATGGCAACAAGCCAGCCAGGGATAGCGTCTGCAGGGGAGGCCACCTCAACCCTGGGGGCTCTTCCACCTCTCAGAGCAGCTTCTGACTCTGCAGGCCTGGGAAGGCCCATTGTAGAAAACGCTGCTGAAACTGGCTTTAAGAAACAAAGAGTCCTTATATTTTAGAGACACCTACTGAAAACTGTAAGGATAAATAGTGTCTGGGATTTGCAAAGTGAAAAAAGCTAAGCCAGGAGTTGATAATTATTGAAGCTGGGTGATGGGATGGGTACATGGAGGTTTATTATGCCGTTCTCACTACTTTCGTTTATGTGTAAATTTTTTTCAAAATACATTGTAAAAAAATTAAGTTTAGTAACTATGTAAATTGAAAGTACACAGAGCCAGTGACTGTCACAGGCCCACTGTTGACCATGCCACTTAAAATGGGATCTCCTTTAAATCCAATTTGCCATTCGCTTGTGGGTTTCAAGGTACCAAATGTCTAAGGGAGTCAGGTCTGCTCTCAGATGCTGCCCTTTCTTCTCTCAATAACTCTAACACCTTGTTCCTTGCCCCTCTTCTCCGTTCTTACCTCCCTCCTGAGTCCACTGTTATCGGACTCCAAATAGCAGTTCTGTCACTTGTCTTCATGAACTTGAACAACTTCCTTCTCAGACTTGAACCATGTTCTGAAAGATGAGGATGCACATCCGCTTAGCAATGTTGTGAAGATGAATTCTGACAGTGTATGTGGGAGTAGGTACATAGCTACACCCTCAAAAGTCCACAGAAGTCAGATAATACAAATGAATGAAGATGACCAAGTAGGAGAAAGTCCTGTGACCCTTTTAGCCTGTCTTTAGCTTTGCCACTTTTAGTAGACATACCAGTAGGAAGAATTTTAAGAAATTTTCTATTCTATAAGGAAAATATTAATTCAGCATGATCATAAACAGAATAAATAATCTATATTCATAAATAAATGGGTAATAAACTGAGACTTAGCCTCAGTGTTGGGGATCACTAGGGAGCGGTGGGGAGTAGGGCAAGCCAGAGCACGCAGGCCCCATCTAATAGAGGCAGTCCTCCTCAGCTCCATGACTCTGCCATGAGAGAATGTGGAGCCAAGGTTAACATGTCTTCTTGTTTTACAAGAGAAGCTAGAACTCTAAAATTTTTATGTGAGATCTCCCAATTCTTAAATTTGGTTTCAATTATTTACAAAAAAAGAACACTACAATGGCTAAACTAATTCCATTTGTGGGCCAAAAGCAGCTCATGAGCTGCCAGTGTGCAACCTCTCACCTAGATAATGGGATAGAACACAGTTTCCCTTCCCCGCCCCCTTATCTTCCACCTCTAACTTTCTCCTTTCTCTCATTTTCCACATTCTTCTCTCCTAACCACGCCCACCCTTCCTTTCTAGACTAAGTCCAAGTGGTAGAAGGGATTGAAGTGGGTTGAAGAAGTGATGAAGCCCGAAGGGCTGTGATCTAGATGCCTCATCCTGTTCCAGGGCCTAGGCCAGTGCCCTGCACATAGTCGATCATAATGACAAACCCGATGAATGAATAAGCCAGCAAGTAGGGGGCAGTCAGTTTCTTGTGCACACCTGGGCTTACCTGAGGACTCTCATTTTTCTCAACAGCCTTGCGAAGTCGTTCTGGCCGCTCCATCATCAACGGGAACTGGGCAATTGACCGGCCTGGAAAATATGAAGGAGGAGGGACCATGTTCACATACAAGCGACCAAATGAGATTTCGAGCACTGCCGGAGAGTCCTTTTTGGCCGAAGGTCCCACTAATGAGATCTTGGATGTCTATGTGAGTTTGAACTCTTGCCTGGATTTTGTATCTTCTTGCTTCTCAGGACCACACTTAGAACAAATAAACAACAAATATTGCCCTTGCTCAGTAAGACCGTTTGAGCGGCGCCTTTTGGGGTGCCCTTTCATGCTTGGCATTCCTCTCTGCCCCTCACCTCCGAATGTACCTAGCTCATAGAAACCTTAAACTCTCCCAGATGCTTATTACCCTCAGCGTTTATTGAGCCAGTAAAACCAATTTTACTTGTTGAACCAAATCAGAGGCAAAACATACCCTTTATTTCATGAGCATTGGCTCTCCTCCAGGCACTTTCCTCCTGTGCTAATTTGGCGTGTTTTCTTTTTACGGCAAAAGAAAGCAAGACGAGACCACTCACAGTTCCCAGCCCTCTTCAAATTCTATTAAAGCAAGTGAAGAAACAAGAACTCCAGAGTACTCCAGATGACACAATAAAGCTTGGAGTAACAATATAGAGATTTACCAGTCGTTCCCTGCTTCGCAGAAGACAGAACTTTGATTTCTTTGACAAGAAACTAAAGTATTAAGTTGCCCCGGAGTTAAAAATGGTCCTTATTTTTTAAAAGAAACCACTAGAATCCAATCTTCTTAAAAAGATCAGGAAATAAAAGGGGACCGGAAATAAAAGCTCAAAATCACGTTTTGATAAAAAAGAATGTGCTCACCCATAGATATATATTCTCTCACCATCTCCAAAGCCATGCTGGTCTACTTGATATTTGCCGAGTTCGAATTTTATAAATATGACTTGTCTAACTATACAGTTACATGTTCATTCCCTTTGGGCCTAGTGGCTCATGGACTAGAAACTACAAAGGAAGTCTTGTTACAGCTCATTCTGAATATTTTTTTATAGACTGTCCAGCTGGTGTTGGTCTCCGGGTAAGTTTCGAATGGCATTAGGGGTAAAAACTCAGGTTGTTAAAGGCCCACTATGGGTGGTCTGGGTTGTGGTGGCCAGTAATAATTTCATAAATGGGACAAGGTTTGCACTGGCAGAATGTTCACACGGAAGAGGCACAGTAGAGGGGGGAAGGCTTTCCGGCCCCAGAATGACTGTTGGATTGTGTGAAAAGAGAAGTGAGGGGACTAGGAGTAGACAGCAAGGACCTGTGGTCACACCACCGTGTCCCTCGGGGGTTCTCTGCTCCCCACCATGGTTCCTGGATGTAGGGGGCCCAGGGGTTCTCATGTCCGCCTTCTGTTGGGTGATTTCTAGACAGGAGGCCACGTTTCACACGTAGGGAAGGGGTAAAGGCTGATGGTGTAACTGGGTGGAATAGACACCCTCATGGACCAAACAGGACCCACCCATGCAGGAGTGACTCAGAGAATGCCTGTAGCTAACAGGACCTCAGAGATCAACTGGATTCTCACCTCCTGCTTCTCCAGATGAAGAAATCGAAAACCATGAGATTGAGGGACTTGCTCTAGGTGACCCAGAGGGTAAAGAGGAGAACCCCTTCGTAAAGCAGTAGAGACAGAAATATCACAGCGTGACCTGTCTCCTTGCCTGGCTCGTATTTTCACTGCAGATTTGCATTCCGCAGCTCCATTTAACCCACCACCCTGCTTCCCTCCAGGAAAGCCATGAGCACAAAGGATTTTGTGCTCCAAAGCCAATAGGGAGGGATTTATTCTGCTGAGCCATGCTGGTTTGTTTCGTGTACTTGTCCCGGACAATGTTTAATTGCTGACTTCCACAGCCCTATGCAGCTTTTGTCATGGGTCCCTGAGAGAGAATAGGACCCAAGGAGACTTACTGCCCTTATACCTGTTTTCCTCACCTTATCTCGCTGTGGTTCTGGAACTTTCCATGGATGAGAGGGGATGGGACCCAGAGAGTCAATGAGGGAGAGGGTTGGGTCAGACCCTTCCTGAGTCAGCCTCCCGGGCCAGGTAGAGGACTTGGGAGGAACCTGGGGGATCTCGGGGCGACGCTGCCAGAGGTCTGGCCCTTCCTTACATGACTCTGTCTCGCCACCTAGTGTTCAAACGGGTTCTCTGTAGTGAAAACTTAAGTGTCTATTTTGGATATTTTGAGGACCATGAGGAAAATCTAAGCAATGGTAGAGGATGGTTGGGAGCCGACAGAAAGATTCCCTACCATTGCTCCCATCTTCCTGTTTAAAATTTATAAAATCTTGACTTTCAACCTAGTTTTCTTCTTATTCTCTCAAAGACTACGTTCTTCATTCTTCAAAAGCAGATAGCAAAAAGCCATCTGGAAATAGCTTTCGTTTAGTGTGTCACCAGTCCGCTAATATTATTAGTTGTAAATCAGTCCACTCATTTATAGTTAGTGCCACTTACACCATTGAGCCCAAAGCCAGCAGGAAGGGGATATGCATGTGTGCCAGTGCAGTGACATTGACCTTTGTGTCGTCAGATGATACACCAGCAGCCTAACCCAGGAGTCCACTACGAGTACGTAATCATGGGGAACAATGCCATCAGCCCACAGGTGCTGCCTCACAGGAGACCAGGTAAAATTTCTGGTTTTGCTGCCGGTCACTCCGGATCATTTCCTTTTAACGCCCTTTCTCTCTTCTTCTTGTGTATCTGCCCTCTGTCTCTCGGTCAACACAGAGAAAACCCATGGACACATATTTCAGAGTCAGTGGGCCTTGATATCAGAGGATGCCTCACCATTTGCCTGAGCCCTCACTGATAAGAGTGTTTCATTCACTTGGTTCAAAAATGAAGTGAACATTCTCAGTCTGTCTTTCCAGTTCAACATTTTGAAATGTCTTTTATATTAGTTTCCTATCACTGCTCTAACAAATGACTTTAAACTCAGGAGCATAAAGCAACACAAATTCACTGTCTTATAGTTCCGGAGGTCAGAAGTGCAAAATGGGTTTTGCTGGGCGGGAATCACGGTGTTGGCAGGCTGTGCTCCCTGTGCAGGCTCTGGGAAAGAATCAGTTTCCTTACCTTTTTCAGCAGAGGCCACCTGCGTTTCTTGGTTCATGGCCCCTTCCTCCGTCTTCAAAGTCAGCTGAATAGCACCTTCAAATCTCTCTCTGCCTCTGACCCTCTTCTTCTGGCATCTCTCCTTCTCCTGCCTCTTTCTTATAAGGACCCTTCCGATTACATTGAGCTCAGCCAGATAATTCAGGATAATCTCTCCATCTCAAAATCCAGGATAACTTAATCACATCTGCAAAATCCCTTTTGCAGTATAAAATAACACATCCCAGGTTCCAGATATCAGGACACAGGCATCTTCAGAGGGCCATTATTCTGTCCACCACATGCCTTTTCTCTTGGTCCCCTTCTGCTTCTGCGAACACAGCTTTCACCTGTAAGAAAAGAATAATGAATTCACACCTAACAATCCACCTCTTCCCTGTGGGCTCTGCTGACAGAGCCAGCAGCTATGCTTGCCTCTGCTGGGTATAGCACAACCCCAGGCTGATATTTCTTTACCGAATGGTGACGGAGCCCACCACCCAAATGGAGACTGTCTTTTCCATCTTTCAGACAGAAGGGTCTGCAGAAATATTAATACGAATCGCTCATAATCACTCACGCGCAGAGTCCTCGCTATGTGCCAGACACTGCTGGGCCCTTCACATAGACTAACTCTGCAAATTCTCACAACTGTGCTCAGAGGGAGGTACTGTTATTAGCCCCATTTTAAGAGTAAGGAAATGGAAGCTTAGAGAGATTGAGTTACTTGCCCAGGTCCCACAATGACCTCAGGTCAGCCTGGGTCACTAGCCCCTGTGCTTATTACACTGCCTACAGGTGACCTGGTCCAATACCTGTCCTAGGAAGTGAGGGGACAGGTGTGAGACCTGGCCGTACATCCTCCTCTGGGCTGCCGATTGGATAACCAGGTTATCTGATTGTTACAGGTCGGGGAGGAGCCACCGGCACGTGGGGTGCATGTGTTGTCCAAACTCCAAGTCAGCACACTCAGCCTGAAAGAATTTTTAAGCCATTTCCAGGAGCAATATACAGTCTGAGAAACCAAGTTCAGATGGGGAAAGACTGAGATTACTGATGCTGATTTATAAGGACAATTGGACAGACTATTTGAAATCATGTAGGATGATGACGAGTCTCAGCTAATGGGTAGCGTGTGGTTCTGGGATCAGCTGCCGGGGACAGGGCAGGCCAGGAGGGGTCAGCTGTAAAGAGTTGGTGAGGAGAGGCAATCTGGACCAGGCTTCATCCACCGTATCAGTGGAGTCAGGAGGCCAGAGCTTGAATTCAATTCTGCCACTTTCTTGCTGTGTGCCCTCAGGCAAGTCAGTAACTTCTCTGAACACATTCACAGTCTACAAAATAGAGAGGGAAAAAATACCCTCAAAGGTTTTATGTGGGAGGGGGAAGGTATTGAATAAATTAGGTGTCCATCCTAGCACAGTGCCCGGTACCTATAAGGTACATAAAAGATTTTAAAATGTTTTATCTGATAACATCTTGGACAGTTTCCTTTATATCAGTATGCTGGTCTTGATTCTATTCGTTTAATTTGCATATAATATTTTAAACCATGAAGTATTATAAGTAGCCGACTAAATAAGAAAGTGCTGCTGAAAGAGTAGAGAAAGCTCTAAGGTTTAACTGCAGTTTATAGTAACCTTAGAATTTGCCTCCTTATTTTATATTAAACTAATGAATGCTTGAACACTATTCAATCAAAACAGAAATATGTAAAGTAAAACGCAACTGCTCCACGACTGCCAAAACTTAGAAGCATCCAAGATGTCTTTCAGTAGGTAAATTTGGATAAAGGAACTGTGGTATATCCAGGCAATGGAATATTATCCAGTGTTAAAAAGAAATGAGCTATCAAGCCATGAAAGGACACGTAGGAATCTTAACTGCATATTACTAAGTGAAAGAAGCCAGTCTGAAAAGTCTGCATATTGTATGATTCCAAGTATGTATGTACGGTATTCTGGAAAAGACAAAACTATGGAGACATTAAACAGATCGGTGGTTACCAGGGATTAGAGGGGAGGGAGGGATGAATAGGCAGAGCACAGAGGATTTTCGGGCAGTGAAACTATTCTGTGTGATACTGCAATGGTCGATAGATGTCACACATTTGTCAAAACCCACAGAATGTACAACACCAAGAGTGAACCCTAGTGTAAACTATGGACATTGGATGATAAGGATGTGTCAGTGTAGGCTCATCAGTTATAACAAACGTACCACTCTGGTGTGGGATGTTGTTGGTGGAGGCTGTGCATGTGTGGGGCAGGAGATACGGGAACTTTCTAGACTTGCCACTTGATTTTGCTGCGAACCTAAACTGCTCTAATTAATATACGTATTTTATATTATATATATATGTCTATTTTTAAAAAAAGCAGTATTCCCAACCTCAGCTCTCTCCCAGCTTCCCAGAGGGAATCTCTCTTTACAATTTGGTGGGACCCTACCCAGCCCTTTCCGTACATATACAAACATGTATGTGGCCAGTTTCAATATTTGTCTACAATCTAAGTGTGCCAGGAACATCACATGCCAGTCTTTTCCATAAGCCAACATAAATCTAACCTCAATTTGAAACTTCTCTGAAACTGGTAGAGTAACTCAATCTCAGTCAATCTGGGGGCTCCCACACACACCCCAGATAGAGGAAAGATACCTGTCTGGCAGGTCTGTGGTGCTCAGGAAACCCAAGACCTCAAACACCTGCCACTCTTCACTTTGGAGATCTCTCTCTCTCTGTCTCTCTGTCTCTCAGAAAGCGCTTTCTCCACTTTTCCCTCCTCCTTTCCCTGGGCTGGCCCCTCTGGGACCTGTTATCCTTACTGGGAGCTCAGGCTTTCCCTGTGGGAAGGAAGAGCTGTTAACTTCCTGCACCTTTCACTTTCACTCCTGCAAAAATCTCAGACAAGAAAATCTAAGAACTTGGCCACTTGGACTAGGAGAGGAGGAGGAACAGAGATAAAGAACAAAACACAAATTAATCTCTCAAGGGCTTCCCTGGTGGTCCAGTGGTTAAAACTCTGCTCTTCTGGGCTTCCCTGGTGGCGCAGTAGTTGGGAGTCCGCCTGCCAATGCAGGGGACACGAGTTCATGCCCCGGTCCGGGAAGATCCCACATGCTACGGAGTGGCTGGACCCGTGAGCCATGGCCACTGAGCCTGCGCGTCCGGAGCTTCTAATGCAGGGAGCATGGGTTTGATCCCCAGTCAGGGAACTACGATCCCACATGCTGCACAATGTGGCCAAAAAAAAAAAAAATTAGTCTCTCAAAAAGTGTCCAGCCACATCTGTGTATGTACATACAAACTGAATTGCTGCTGTGGTTTTCTCTTTCACTAAACAACCTATGGGTCATATCTCCATGTCACATGTATTTGCTTCATTCTTTTAAAAAATAGCATAATATTTCATTCTTGGTTGTAGTATAATTTATTTGAACCACTACCACTGGTAGACATTTAAGTTCACTTTACTGTTTTGCTGTTTCAAATTAGTAACCATACTTATACATACCGCTTTATATAAAAGAATGAGAATATTTGTATGACAATTGTCCTGGAAACTGAATCCCTAGGTCAAAAGGTACGTGCATTTAAAATTTAGAGAGATATTGCCAAGTTGCCCTCCAAAACTTTGCGTGTGTTTGCAGGCTCACCCAGTGTGCAAAAGTGTGTTTTCCTGCACCTTCAGTGAGGGGTTTAGGGATTTAAGGGTTTCCAAAGTTTCTTGTTAGGTAAATAGAGTTGCTGTTGTTAGTTGCTTTCTCATGTAGTTCTTTAATTAGGAAGGAAGCTGAGCGCTGTGTGACTTTTGACTGTGTGTATTTCTTCTCATGTGAAAAGAAATTGCCTCTCCCTGTGCCTTGCCCACTTTCCCTACTGTGATGTTCATCTTTGTCTTATTCATTTTTAATAATGTTTTTAATATTAGGGAAATTAACATCTGCCTCTTTTAAATATATGTGCTCTGAATTAGAAATGATCTCATGCTACCTAATTTCTAATGTTGGAGCCATCGCCTCTTTACAACTCACCGTCCAAACCCATCTTCTGTGGTGTGTGCACTTGCCTCTCCTAGGGGAGCCCTTCAACGGCCAGCTGGTACCAGAAGCGGGGAACCAGCAGGAGGGAGAAGGGAAAGAGGGGGATGAAGAGAAGGCAGACGTGCACGGTGGGGCACCTGAAATATTCACCTCGGAATCAGCACAGACCTTCCCGGTCAGGCATCCTGATAGATTCTCTCCCCACCGGCCGGACAATGTGGTACCACCAGCACCACAGACCCCACGGCGGAGCCGGGATCACAACTGGAAACAGCTGGGGACAACGGAGTGCTCGACAACCTGCGGGAAAGGTGAGCTCATGTGCGGGCTAGGAGGGTCTCTGCAGATCCCCGAGCAGGAGTGGGGAACATGCAGGTAGGCCCCAGGCACGTGGCAAAGCTTCCCCTCCTTGAGCCTGACTGTGAGATTGCTCGTCAGTGTGAGGCTGTGTTGGGGGTTCCCAAAGACCACCCTCAGGCTCGGTGATCCACCCGAAGGACTTAGAAAACTCAGAAAACCTGCTGTGCTCATGGTTCCAAGTTCTAACAGTGAAAGGCTACAGATTGGCATCAGCAAAGGGAGAAGCACGTGTGACAAAGTCCAGGACACACCAGGCGCCAGCCTCCAGGTATCCCCTCCCAGTAGAGTGGCACAGGGATGCACTTGGTTCTCTCAACAATATTGTACATAAGCCAAGTATTGCCAACCAGAGAAGCTCACTCCAGCTTTGGTGTCCAGGGGATTTAATGAGATTCAATCACGTAGGCCTGTAGGTCCCACATTAGCTACTCAGCCTTTAGCACCCCAGAGGTCAAACTAATACAACATGGCCTAAGACCTCAGGCATGCAAAGACAGGCATTCACAGAAATCACATTGTTGTCATAAACTAGCTTGTCAAACTGACAGAGCGCAACCCAAGATCTCTGGCATAGAAAAACTCTTATCAGCAGAATATTCCAAGGGTTCTGAGGTTGTCTCCAGCCCTGGTCAAGGACCAGTCCTGAATACAGGTCTCTCTTTGGAATATGCAGGGTCTGAGCAACTCAGGCCTGCTGAGTTAACCCTTTCCCGCACAGCGTGTTCATTAATGATCAGAGAATACACTCACCTAGTTCAAGATTTACAAGCTGACGTATGAGTCAAGGTTGTGGAACACTTACACAAATGCCATTCAAAAGTCATTCTCCGGGCTTCCCTGGTGGCGCAGTGGTTGAGAGTCTGCCTGCCGATGCAGGGGACACGGGTCCGTGCCCCGGTCCGGGAGGATCCCACATCCCGCGGAGCGGCTGGGCCCGTGAGCCATGGCCGCTGAGCCTGCGCGTTCGGAGCCTGTGCTCCGCAATGGAAGAGGCCGCCAACAGTGAGAGGCCCGCATACCGCAAAAAAAAAACAAAAAAAAGTCATTCTCAGGGCTTCCCTGGTGGCGCCGTGGTTGAGAGTCCGCCTGCCGATGCAGGGAACACGGGTTCGTGCCCCGGTCCGGGAAGATCCCACATCCCGCGGAGCGGCTGGGCCCGTGAGCCACGGCCGCTGAGCCTGCGCGTTCGGAGCCTGTGCTCCACAATGGGAGGGGCCGCAACAGTGAGAGGCCCGCGTACCGCAAAAAAAAAAAAAAAAAAGTCATTCTCAGATCTAAGGATTTCAGAAAAAAAGAATGCTTTGGGAGCTTGCAGTGTTAGTTAGCTAGCTTTTACACTCCACAGCTCCATTCTTCCTCCTCAGTAAATTCTTAATCCTGTATTTGTCCCATTATCTTAAGACCAATCAACTCAGAACACCTGGAGCAAGGCTGTAGCCTAACGAAGTCAGTTTATGCAGCAAAGGGGACCACACACCAGTGGGAGCATAGGGCATCTCTCCAACGGCAAGAAAAGATCCAGTAATAGGATTTAGGGGGAAAGGTGGAGTCTAGGTGAAATTTAAATAAAGCAGGGTTGTGGACTTCCCTGGTGGCGCAGTGGTTAAGAATCCACCTGCCAATGCAAGGGATATGGGTTCGAGCCCTGGTCTGGGAATATCCCACATGCCACGGAGCAACTAAGCCCGAGCGCCACAACTACTGAGCCTGCACTCTAGAGCCCGCGAGCCACAACTACAGAGCTCTCGTGCCACAACTACTGAAGCCCGCCCGCCTAGAGCCCGTGCTCCACAACAAGAGAAGCCACTGCAGTGAGAAGCCTGCACACCACAACGAAGAGCAGCCCCCGCTTGCCGCAACTAGAGAAAGCCCGCGTGCAGCAACGAAGACCCAACGCAGCCAAAAATAAAATAAATAAATTTATAAAAATAAAGCAGCAGAGTTGTGATAGGCTTGAAGCAAAGCCTGGCTGTGTGTAAAAGGGTCAGTATCAGTCTGGACTGTGATGTGGACTCATGGTCCTGTGTCCTTGAACACTCAAAGGCAAGATAGATGTGGAATGTGGTGTCCAGAAACCCCTGACCTGATGTTCTGCACCTGGGTTGGAAATTGATGCTGCTTTTCTGTTCCAGGTGCCTTAGATCCTCATTGCAAGGATATGTATAACTGTGCAGTCATGATTTCCTTCACATACATGGTGATAGCCTCCTGCTTGTAGTAAAGTGCTATTTGTGACTGTAAAACACCTGTTCTTCGAGGGCAGGTTACCATAGAAACAGAGGCTGTATCCCTGAGGAGTTTCTGCAACTGGGAAACATACCTCCAGCGTATTGGTTTGGGGAATTTTTTTCCTTTTCTTCAAAAGACTTGCGTCTGAGAGTACAAAACTTGGAAACGATGGCAAAATCAACACATGGAAAAATCTTTCACGACCACCTTTAACGCTTTTATCTTTTTCATAAGAGCACTGACTTAGTGGCTTTTGAGAATCGAATTTAAGTCTTTGGTTCCTCTTGGGGTCTGGAGCCCTTCCTGCCTGGAATCTTTGCTGGTTCCATGATGGCTTCATAACTGGAGTGCTGATTTATGGAGGTTTTATTGTGCTTATACTTAATACTTGCGCAGAGAATGTGAACTGGAGAGTCATTGTGCCAACTTCTCTTATAAGCCTTATGAGGGAAAGTTAAATGCCTGTTAAGTGTGTCTTAAAAGAGGCAGAAAGCTAGAGATAATTATGCATTAAGGCCAAAATCAGTTTAGTGAGGATCTGTCCATGACGCCATAGAGGTAAGCAGTGTGAAATGAAATGTACTTGACATAGGAGCCCAGGATCAAAAGGTTTTTTTTTTTTTTTTTTCCGGTACGCGAGCCTCTCCCTGCTGTGGCCTCTCCCGTTGCAGAGCACAGGCTCCCGACACGCAGGCTCAGCGGCCATGGCTCACGGGCCCAGCCGCTCCGCGGCATGTGGGATCCTCCCGGACCGGGGCACGGACCCGTGTCCCCTGCATCGGCAGGCGGACTCCCAACCACTGAGCCACCAGGGAAGCCCCCAGAAAGTATTTTGATAGTGCTGAAATAGTCTGCCATTTAGGTAGTGGTGTGATGCCTGCTAACTGAAAGAGATACACTCAGAACTAAGTGAGATCAGGTGAAAACAGATAACTCAGAACTAGGTGAAAGGATAAAGATGGTCGTTATGTGGTTTGATATCAAGGGTGGCATGTATAGAAGAGTGTCCTCCATTTCATGTCTTTAAAGACAGCCTGGCCCAGCCTTTCCAGTAGGATGAGATGTAGGCCTGTCTGGAGACCACAAGGCATTGCATTGTGGACAGAGTGGGACAAGGACAAGAGCATGTGCCATTTGCCATGCACCCTGCGTGCTGCTCACCCAGCCTTGTGTTCACTGGACTCATCCAGGTGGTCATTCAACAGTCTGTATCTGTTCTGTACCAGGCATGGTGGAGGGACCCCTTGGCTCCCTCTAAGGTTTGCTCCCAGCCAGCGATGGCCTCAGAGATGTCAGGGCAGGGAGGCAGTGTGGATGCACAAAACATTTAGCTCATCTCATGGTCATCAGTGGTAGTGACAAGTGTGCCGTGACCAAGAAATTCTGAGCCTGCCAGGGCTGTCCATCTCTTTTCTGCACAACCCAAGTCCACTTGCCTCGTGATCTCATCATTTTCCCCACACAAACCCTCTCCCAAACTCTCCTCCAGCACTTCCTGGCAACACTCACCAGACCACACATTTCTGTGCCTCGCAGATTAAAATTCCAGCATCATGACAGCATGATCACGGGGGGGAGCCCTGTCACTGGTGTACAAGAGAGGCCCATACTCTGTCCAGTCACTGCCCGGACCTCTGTTTATTTGGTCAAGCTCCTGGCTTGGCCCAGTTGATCCCTTACGTTCCAAGACTAGAGTTATTTAATTTTTTCTTTCTTCTTATTTTGTCCATCTCTCCACAATGCCTCACTGACCTCTACACGGTCCCCTGAATTCACTGACTTACCTCCTTTAATGTCCACTGATTACCTATGGTACAGTCCCCCCTCCAACGTAACACACTTCTGTTTAGATCAACACGTTGAACGTACAGCCCAACCAAACTGATCCCAGATTGTTCCTGCTGCCTGAAGCCCAGCGAGCACCCGACCTCCCCACCCCATTCTTGCTGGGTAGCACTTAGAGGGCTAATTGTGTGGCATGCTTGGACAATGAAGAGGTGGCCAGGTACCATTCTGAGTGATAGTCTCCCTTTCTGCAGAAATATAAACTGACCCAGAGAAAGAAACCTTTTCGGTCATTGGAGTCAAGAACTATAGATCTAGTGTTTTCCCACCACCGGAGACAGAAAGAGTACCTCTGAGTTTGTGTCCTTGGCTAAACGCTGGAACTGGACCAGGGGGAAGGCAGGCAGTGGCCAAAGTGCACACAGCCCCAAACAGGACCCATCTTTCCAAGGCACAGAGCATTCCTAGGGTAACTTGTATCCTTTCAGCTAAAGATACTCAATCCCCCCCTCATTAGTGCCAAGCAGTTGGGGTAGTTACTTTTGCCTTCCGAGCCACAAACGTGTAAGTAGAAAAGTTAAACCCGCATGGTCTGATGGGAAAGGGATGGGCTGAATAATAAAATTTTTACTTAAGCCCTTATTAACTGCATCCCAATGAGTATCCTGGAAGCTGTGAACTGAATCTTATTCATCTTTGTAACTCAGCACAATGTCCTTAATGTTTGCTGAATTTCATTAAAAATCTCTTCTTAATGGAAGCAGATATGTTACCGGACAAAATTTAATTCCACAAAAGTTTTTGCTTCCCATTAATTTTATAGCCAGTACTGCTTTTATTTGTAACATCTTTATTGGAGTATAATTGTTTTACAATGGTGTGTTAGTTTCTGCTGTATAACAAAGTAACTCAGCTATACATATACATACATCCCCATATCTCCTCCCTCTTGCGTCTCCCTCCCATCCTCCCTATCCCACCCCTCTAGGTGGTCACAAAGCACGGAGCTGATCTCCCTGTGCTATGCGTAGTACTGCTTTTTACTCAGCTAATAATTATGCTTAATTGGAACATTATTTTAAAATAATGGTCTCAAGTTATAGCTGCATTGTAAATGTTTACACCCATAGTAGTTTAAACAAACGATTGTTTCTGATTCAAAACTGTCTTACAAACTGTCATGTTTTTTACAAGAACTACCTTCTGGCTCGGTGTGTCCCACAAAATCAGCTTAAAGAAGCATTGGAACACTTCGTGGCTACTGAAATATTTAGAGACACATTCAAAGTTATCCCTCTAGTTACAATTAAAATTATAGCAAGTTGAAGTTGAGAAACTCTAAATGCCTGGCCAATTAGCAACAGAACTGAGACAAAGCTGTAGGCTAAATGCCCGTGTTCTACCCAGCAGGACTCAGCTACTGGCCTAGACTGGGGCCGGGGGTGGGTGGAGTGGGTGCACAGTCATTTATGAAAAAGCATCTTACACTCCAGACGCTCGGGTTGCGCCTTCCCCCAGTTACGGTTCTTTGTAAACACCCAGTAGTAATACTTCAGTGCTGCCACCAGGGGGTAGCAGAGAGAGAGAGAGGCAGGCCGAATTGAATCAGTTTTGGTTTTGTTTTTTCCAGTTGAGAGCTAGAAAATTTCACTGAACAAACTTTGACTGTTTCTCCAAAATAGATTATGCCTTATTAAGTATGAAACATGAGGCTGTGCATTTAAAACATACAAAAAAACTTAGGCAGTCAGTATCTTTTTTTTAGCAAAGTAACAAAAACAAATGTTAGACCGCTGATAAATATTCACTCAACAAACTTTTATGGAGCACTTCCTCCCCTGCTGTACTGGGGTTACAGGGTTGAGCAAGCACCAGTCCTGTCCCCTAGAAACTCACCATCTCATAGGAGGCAGACATATACTCAAATAACCAAAATTCCACTGGGTCAGTCCTTTACTGGGGGAATGTGTAAAATGATTTACAAAGGCGAAGCCAGCTGCTTTTCTAGCCTCTCTTGAATCTTCTTACTTCTCTGCCCCAACCTGACTGCTGCTTCAACATACCTGGCTCTTGCAGGCCGGTTTGCCATGCACTTTTGTTCCAGTTCCGCGTCCTGGACAGAGCCCCCCTCCAAGACACACGTGTGCACAGCTACCCGAAACCAACCCTCTCTCTGCAAAACCCTCTCTCTTTCATGTCTGCGGAAAACCTTCAAGGAGTTATTATTTGTGTTCATTTTATAATCATTCCCCTGCCTATCGATCTTTCTTGTTGTCTTGAACTCTTAGGGGAATTGTTTTTATCTGCCTCTGAACATGTTCAAACCATGTCCACAAATAGATTATAAGGCCTTTGAGGGCAGGAACTATTCCTGCTCCTCTTTGCCCCGGACGGTGCCTAGGAAAGCCCTTGTGCAGGAGCTGCGTGTAAACTCAGGAACGGAGGAGTGTGTGTGCGTGAATCGTCCTGTTGCTGAGGCTTTTCTTCATCAGCATCCGGATCTCTGCGCATCTGCGTTCATAGCCCAGCATTAGAGTGTGTTCTCCTTGTCCCTGCAGGATCGCAGTACCCTATTTTTCGCTGTGTGAACAGAAACACTCACGAAGAGGTTCCTGAGAGCTACTGTGACTCGAGCATGAAGCCGACCCCGGAGGAGGAACCCTGCAACATCTTCCCTTGCCCAGCCTTGTAAGAGGGCCTCTGCCTGTTTTCAGCTCACTTCTAGTTGCTTGTGCATAGGACCCTAGTAGTAGATGTAATCTAATTTTTAAATCAGCCTACATCTGATTTAGAAACAGGAGACTTAGTCTATGCATAAAATGCAATCTGTTTAGCAAGTGCACCTGGCTTTCAGGATTCACACAGGAGCTCACAGCCTTTAACTGCTCAGCACACTCCCAGGAAGCCTTTGGTGAACTGGAGAAATTAGGTTTTAGCTGGCAAGGAAAACAAAGAGGGGAGCAAGGAGTTACAATCCAGTGCAGTCAGTGCTCAGGCGAGCTGTGTACAGAGAGAGACTAATGTAAGTCACAAATACATCTGCTTGGGGAGTGTCTCAGGAGAGGTCTTGGCTTAGTTATTGAATAATAAATAGGACACTTTTAGAAGAACAAGGAGGGAAAGCCCTAAAAGGGGTCAAAACATAATTCTCAAACTAATAAGAACATAATTCTCATCCGAAGACATAGTGCCCATGTGCCGATGTCTTATTTAAGGAAATGACAAAGCAGGATAACAGAGGAGAATATGTGAAACTGATATGTAAATAGTTCATGAAAAATAACAAAGGTTGGAAGAAGATTTCTAAGTTAGTTCCAAAGTGGGTTAATGTTCTGCAGGGTAATAAAACTCATCTTTGGAGTTATTTTTCTGACTAGATAAAAATCTTTTGTACCTTCTTGGTTTTCTATAATTTTACGGAATCTGGGCCCTAATCACTGGTAAAGAGAATATGGAACAGAGCCACATTCTTTATGGAGTCAGACGGCCTTAGGCAGACTGCCAGGCACTGCTCTGGGCTGGGGATCACCCATAACAATTCTGACGCTTCTTTGTAAGTTGGCTTGGCCAACTTCTGTGTAAGATGCTCTCTTCCTGTTGACTGAAGTGACCGGTCCCTCTCGATCTCTCGTTCCTGAGCTAGCTGGGACATCGGGGAGTGGTCTGAGTGCAGCAAAACCTGTGGCCTGGGCATGCAGCACCGCCAGGTTCTGTGTCGCCAGGTGTATGCCAACCGCAGCCTGACGGTGCAGCCCTACCGCTGCCAGCACCTGGAGAAGCCCGAGACCACCAGCACCTGCCAGCTCAAGATCTGCAGCGAGTGGCAGATCCGGACAGACTGGACCTCGGTACGCAGCAGGCCAGCCTGCTCTGGAGCTCCCCCTCCAAGACCTACCACCACCCTCCTGCCTCCCCCCTCCAAGACTTGACGTGGGAGAACCCTGGATTCTCCAGGAGGACCCGTCCTGTGGGGTTCTGGAAGGACTATTCTGCAAACCATAAGATGTGCCGATAGGGCCATCCTGTCATCCTGATAGACTTAAGGGCCAACTTTCAGGGTGAGCCCATGGCAGCCGTGTGCACACAGGTGACCTCTTGCTCCTGTGTCACCGTGGAGTGAAGGCTGGCAAAGGCTGCTAGAGCCAACTCCTCCTTCCAATCGTGCTCTCCCATTTTATAGATGGCAAAACTGAGGCCCAGAGGATCAAAGTAGGCGAGACATCCAAGGTGATCTTAGAGAGAAGGCGTGTGATGTTTTCAGGCTGGGATCCTCCCCAGGTAGCATCGCTTGAGAGGGGACCCGGCAACCCAGGGGTCTCGCCCCACCCCGTCCTCTGCTCAGGTAGCGGGTAACGAGGACGAGGGCACCCTGACCAGAGGGACCCTCAGAGCTGGCACTGCCCGGTGCGCTGATGTGCGCTTGCTGTGTTTTAGTGCTCGGTGCCCTGCGGAGTGGGGCAGAGGACCCGCGATGTGAAGTGTGTGAGTAACATCGGGGACGTGGTCGATGACGAGGAATGCAACATGAAACTCCGGCCCAACGACATTGAGAACTGCGACATGGGACCCTGCGCCAAGAGCTGGTTCCTGACGGAGTGGAGCGAGAGGGTGAGCGTGCCGGAAGGCGGGCGGGGGGGACCAAGCCTGCTGGTCTGATGGGCAGGAGCCATGTATCACGACGTGCCCCAAACCACACAGAGACGAATCGCTAGCTTGGAATCCCAAAGGTGATTTCTGACTTTGGGGAAAAACCCAGAGGTGAACTACTGTAGGCTTTCTATCCTTCTATGAAGACTGATGGCCTCCAAGATCGAGATGTGGGTATGAAAGAATTCATTTAATTCTCCTTAGCACGTCACACGAATATTAAATAATGAAATTCTAAATAAAGCGAGGGATTACATCACAACTTTCCTACATCTTGGGCATGCCTGGCATAGAACGGGCACTCAGCAAATGACAGGCCCCCTTCCCTGCTTCTTACAGACTCAAAACCAATCCCACCATTCCCCTCCCCAGTAGCGCAGCCGCCTTAGGGTCCCTGGTGTCAGGTGTCAAGGATGAACTCCAAGGTGTATATAGTTCATCATTAACCTACCAGTTACCTGTATACAAGGGAAGCCATTAAGAAATTGAATTCATCTATCAAAGACAAAAATAAGAGTTATATCAGAAGAGAGAGGGATTCTGGAGTTGGATGGTGGTGTTGGTCACACAACAACGTGAATGTACTTAATGCCACTGACTTGTACTCTTAAAAAATGAGTAATATGGTAAATTTTATGTTATGCGTATTTTACCATAATTTAAAAAAAATGTTAGGGAAAAATACTAAGCAAAATTCGAGGATGTACGCTGGGGTGAAGGAGCGAGCGGGGAAGGAGATAAGGAGTTTTGCCTGCCTTTTCTTGTAGAAGATGTTGATTGGCTGGCAGTAGGCATATTCTGACCAGCGCAGCTGGACTGCTCATCAGATGAACAGTTTCTGGGTTTCTGGATTCTTCAGAAGACCTTGGAGGTTTAACTGGGATGGAGACATTAGTGGCTGCCTCTGTCCTTAGTGCCTCCCTCCCAATTAGGCCAGGTCTGCACCATTTCCCTTAGCAGAATCCCTCAGGGTGCTTCCAAACTGTAATGTGCCTACAAATCCCTGGAAACCTTGTTATAGTGCAGACTCTGAGTCATCCTGCCAGGAATGTGTCCCTGTACCAGCTGTCCAGGTGAGCATGGGTCACACAGATAGCAGGGATATTAACACTGATGTGTCCAGTTCCCAGGCCCAGCTCTCCCTTTATATCAGGCCACCTCCCAATACTCCCATAGCTGTGGCCCTCGGGGACTGGAGCCATCGGCCTTAGTATCAGGCAGCAATGTCTGTGACAGACTTCCGCCGTCCTTTCCCAGACCAGTCCAGACTCAGCTACTAGCAGGCAGATGGTGTGCCCGCGTTTTCGTGCCCTCACTCTTCTGCTGCTGAATAGATTTTCGAAATCGAAAGCCAAAACAGTAGTCTGACAAGTGTAAGTGTGTTCATCACAGCCGTGGGACAGGCTATTTGGAAAGAAGACCGTCCCTGAAAATCTAGGACAGGGTGCCATACTGATATCCCGTAATGGAGGAAAGAGCTCCTGACAAATGGTCAGAGGTTTCCAGGGGAAAGAGGTGGTAGGGAAACGCGGTGTCGTTCGCATCCTCTGAGAGTGGCTTCAGAACCTGCGGGGAGGCCTCCCCTCTAAGGCGCCCCTTGCTGTCTCGCAGTGCTCGGCAGAGTGTGGGGCTGGAGTGCGGACACGCTCGGTGGTGTGCATGACCAACCATGTCAGCAGCCTGCCGCTGGAGGGCTGCGGGAACAACCGGCCAGTGGAGGCCACCCCGTGTGACAACGGGCCCTGCACGGGCGAGGTGGAGTGGTTTGCGGGAAGCTGGAGTCAGGTGAGTGGCCGGAACCGGGTGTGTCTGTCCGTCCCCTGACCTGTTTCTGGGTCAGGGAATAGGGCTCGGTGTATCCCAGGGGTGCCGGGTGGGTTTGCACCCCAGCTGTGCTACCCATGACCCTGGAGAAGCTACTTACGCTCTTGGAGCCTCATTCTGTCAACAGTAGTTATTCCTGATTAATTTGTGAAGACCCTCTCTCCAAACAAGGTCAGATGCTGAGGTACGGAGGTTAGGATTTAAACATATGAATTCTCGGGGGACACAGTTCAACCCATAACTAGTATATAGTTCTATCATTATTGACAAACATTACTGTCGTGTTACTACCACCACGATCAAGATATAGAACAGTTCCATTGCCCACCAAAATTCTCCTGTGCCTTTGTGGTCAACTTTTTCCTTCAAACCTGGCACCTGGCATCCACTCGTCTGTTTCTGTCCTCATAATTTTGCATTTTCCAAAATTTCATATTATTGTATATAACAGTATGTAGCCTTTTGAGTCAGCTTCCTTTTGCTTATATGTAATACACATGCATTTGAGATTTATTCATATTGTTCCATATATCAATAGTTCATTCTGTCTGTGGCTGAGTAGTGTTCCATTGTATGGGCATACTACACTTGTTGATTCCCAAGTTGAGGGACACTTCAGTGTTTGGTGATTTTGAATAAAGCCATTTTAACTTTCATGTACAGTTTTTTATGGGTGCATAAGTTTTCATTTCACCTGGGTCAATGCCTAGGAGTGGAATTGCTGAGTTGTGTAGTAAATGGTTTTTTAATTTAATACAGAGCTCCAAGCTCTTCCAGAGTGGCTGTACCCTTTTGTATTCCTGTGAGTAATGTCTAAAAGTTCTAGTTCCTCTGTATCATCAGATCATGGTATTGTCTGAGTTGCTTTTGTTTTTGTTTCTTTTTTGCCATTTTAACAGATATTGGTGATATCTCAAAAAAAAAAAAAACCAGTAGTTATTGAGCACCTACTACGTGCTCTTCTCTCTAAGCCCTTAGGATACATCATTGAGCAAAGCAAATATCCCTGCCCTCAGGAAGCTTATGGTCCAGCATGGTTTCCTTGTCTACAAAATGCCAATAATGAAGCACATTATGAGGTTATTTTTAGAAGAAATGAAGTAATGTGTACAGAGTATGTAGTGCAGTGCCTGACATACAATAAACACACAATAAATTGTAGCTTCTAGTGCTATTATTGTTAATAAAGTCAGTTGTGTCTGTATTTGAGTGTCAAAAGCAGAAATAGATATGATCCAGCAGTCCCACTTCTGGGCATATATACAAAGGAAAGAAAATCATTATCTGGGAGAGATATCTGCACTGTCCAGCCCCCCGCCATGTTCATAGTATTGTTCACAATAGCCAAGGTATGGAAATAATCTAAGTGTCTGTCGACAGATGAATGGATAAAGAAAATGTGGTATTTGTTTATCGTGGAATATTATTCAGCCTTTAAAAAGGAAGGAAATCCTGCCATTAGCAACAACATGGATGGACTTGGAGGGCATTATGCTAAGTGAAATAAACCAGACACAGAAAAGCAAATACTGCATGGTATCACTATATGTGATATCTGAAAAAAAAAGTCAAACTCAGGAAAACAGAGTTGAATGATGGTTGCCAGGGGCTGGGGGTGGGGGATATAGGAAGAGGTTGGTAAAGGGTTCAAACTTTCAGTTATAAGATGAATAAGTTCTGGGGATCTAATGTATAACATGGTGACTATAGTAGATAATACTGTATTGTATACTGAAATTTACTAAGTGAGTAGAACTTAAGTGTTGTCACGTATACACACAAAAAAGGTAAATATGCTAAGTGATGGATGGGTTAACTTGACTGTAAGAATCCTTTCGCCATGCACATGTATACCGTACCATCATGTGCATACTTTCAATATATTACAATTTTATTTGTCAATTATATCTCAACAAAGCTGGGGGAACGAAGCAGAAACAGAAAAAGTTAAGTTTGTTCATTATGAAGAACCAATAATACCAAATGCCTCAATAAAGTCACTTAATTGATTAATTAATTTTTCCTTAGGGTTCCAAAATTGAACATGGACCCCCTAAAATCATTCCCTCTTTGCCCCGTTACGATTACCATCGGTATTTTGAGTTCTCGGGCCATTTAGTATTTGGCTCCCAGGGCTGGCTGGTTCTCCAAAGCTTTCTGGCTGATGACCATGATTTACACATTATCTGGACCTCTGGCACCATATAGAATTTTATTTCTTTTAAGTAGCTTTAAAAACAGACCCTGAAAAGAAATGGACTGCCTTGTCCTTGTAAATCAACACAACCCCTTTGGAAAGCAGTTTGGCAATAAAAGTCAAGAACCATAAAAATGTTCATTTGCCTTCACCCAGTCACCCCACTCCTGGGGATTCATTTTAAGGAAATAATCAGCAGGAGAAAAAAAAGTTTTTTCAACAGAGATGTTCACGATAGCATGATGGTTAGGGATATTATGGTATATCGTAACTCATTAAGATACGTAACAAGAACAATGATAATTAGGAAGATATGGAAAATACATATAATATAAAGGCAAGTGAAAAACAGAATATGAAAGTATATGAACCCTATCTCAACCACTTCAAAGTATAGTTTTTTATATAAACAACATGGGCAAGTGTTTTCTTCTCAAATTTCCTTAATATTTTTATAATACAAAGTGTAAAATATTTAAAAATTCAGAAAAGAAAGAATTCAAGTACTTCCAGTGCTACCCAAGTCGATATCAGAGTTAGACATACTTGATAACAGATCCCAGTTCTGCATCGCCTTAGTTCTCTGAGTTGGGGCAGGTAATTTAACCTCTCTGAGCCTGTTTCCTCATCCAAATATGAGGATAATGATATCAAGTTTTTAGAGTTGCTATTGGGTTTTCATTAGACACTGTATATAAAAGGGTAATTGCTGAGCTTCCCTGGTGGCGCGGTGGTTGAGAGTCCGCCTGCCGATGCAGGGGACATGGGTTCGTGTCCCGGTCCGGAAAGATCCCACATGCCACAGAGCGGCTGGGCCCGTGAGCCATGGCCGCTGAGCCTGCGCGTCCGGAGCCTGTGCTCCGCAACGGGAGAGGCCACAACAGTGAGAGGCCCGCGTACCACAAAAAATAATAATAATAATAATAAAGAAATAAAAATAAAAGGGTCATTGCTTAGGACGTGGGGAGCACTTAATAAATATTAGTTCCCTTTCTCCATGTTTATTATTTTTTCTGCCAGTGTTTCTATCTCATTGTTGGTAGCAAAACACCTAGGATCTACACCCCAAAGATAATTCAGAAGCAGACTGTGTATGGGACACTAATTACACCAAGTATTCATGGAAACTGAGGCAATGGGAAGAGTCCTGTGTGAAATCGTAATACTGGATCATAACAGCCTTCACTCAGAGAAGATAAACAGTGCAGTTCGACTCACACGTCCACCAATGTCTGAGGAAGAAGAAAGGGGAGCAGGATTCAGGTCTTTTTTTTTTTTTTTGCGGTACGCGGGCCTCTCACTGTTGTGGCCTCTCCCGTTGCAGAGCACAGGCTCTGGACGCGCAGGCCCAGCGGACATGGCCCACGGGCCCAGCCGCTCCGCGGCATGTGGGATCCTCCCGGACCGGGGCACGAACCCGCGTCCCCTGCATCGGCAGGCAGACTCTCAACCACTGCGCCACCAGGGAGGCCCAATTCAGGTCTTTTTGACCTGTGGGCTTCCTATTGACTCCAGACCTACTCAGAGAACTGAGAGTCGCATGAATCCTGGTGAAGGCAGCATTTATCTCTGCTAAGATTAGAAACATGGGATTTATTGCCTGTCATCCAAAGGGTCAGGACATGATTGATTGTGGACAAGGTTTTTGTTCTGAATTTATAAGACTATCAGAGCCTGCTGGCACCTCCCTGCCCTGGGAATTTGATATTATCCCCAAAGAAAATGAAATAGAGCATGCTTATGTGTTGAAAGAAAGTCTTAAACATTAACTGACTTCAGGATATAAAAATAAATGTTCCTTCCAGACACGTGGTTTGAATGAGAGTTGGCCTCTTGAACACCCCACTGGCCCGGTCACAGTGATTAGTCCAGGATGGACATGTGACCCAAGCCGAGCCAAACGGAGTCCTTTCCTGGGACTTTTCATGTGGACTTAGGGGAAGAGACTCCCTGGGAAGTTGTGAGCACAGGTGCTAGCAGTGGTCCTGTTGAGGCTGGTGGAGAAGCCAGCCCAAGAGAATGAGACCTGTCAGGCTTAGGGAGTCTTTTTCTACTCTGGAGACAAAGTAGCCCAACTCTTATTCCTAAGATATTCCACCAGGCCTATTATTCATGCGCAGATGCTTTCTTTCTTCCCTGTCGATTCTGGGTTTACTTCACCCTTAGATTGTCTTAGTTCTTGCGGGGGATTGGGGGGATGGTTCTTTCACAGTCTTTAGCTATTAAGAGCAGCCTTCTTGTCTGCCCCTGTGTCTGGATCACATTTACTCTCTAACATCTGAGCAGACAGTCCCAAAACTGAGAAGCCTTGTAGTTTTCTGGATGTCTGTGAAGATGGCAGAAAGAAGGCACAAAGTGGAAATTGCTGATGGAGATGTTTATTATGCCCTGTGTGAATACTCCATTGTCTGTTGCCTTGGGTTTGGGGTACTTTTGCTGGGTAGTGACGTGGGTTTTTCCACTCTGTTTTTATTTCACCATGTGCCTGCATACAGCAGCAAGGATAATATTGAGTTTCAGCTGCAGACATGTTTACAGGCTATTCATAAAGGCAAGAGCTTCTTTAAAGTCTTTAAAAGTATATAGATCACAGCTTGTAAAATTTTCTAATCAAAAGGTATTAAGAGTATACCAAACATAAGTAAAAAACATTTTACAAAGTAATAGATACTAAATGGAATAACTTATAGGCGGTTACACGCATCGTATTTCCATAACCTAACACAATGAACCAAGACGTGTCCTTACCTGACTGGCTTCTTCGTGGCCGCAACCGCAGCGAGCTTCAGCTCCAAGTAAGAAGCCAGGGGACTGGACTCCGCGGACAAAGGCTTCCTGCTGGTTGCCCTGTTGGGAGCGGAGGGCTGACCAGGGGACATTGTCCCAAGCCTGTGGTCTTCTCAGCTTTGTGCGTCCCAAAGAATTTTAATGTAGCCCTTCATCCAGAGGCATGCAGACTCTGGGAAATGAATTCATTCCCAGTTCCCTCCCCTAAAAGACCAGCAGATAAACTAGAATGTTAGTTCGTTGTTTTACAGTGAGAGGTGTCAGGAGTCTACCAGACAAAACCAAACTGACTGGCTGGTATGTTCTGTGGGAAAGCCTACGGGACACTATCTCACTCACATTTCACCGAGGGTGCCAGGATCTCAGCAGCCAGCATCCTCGAGCTGTGAGAACTCAGGGCACCCACTCTCCATTCCAGACACAGAAGTGTTAGGAAATGGAATCTGTGTGCAACTTTTCCTCCAGAAGTGTTTTCCGGGCACCCTCGGGCTCTTCCTCACTGAATCAATGATGGTAAGCTCTGGTAAACATCGCTCAATGGATGGCAGTTCTCGTCCCCTTTCCGTCCTGTGGCACCCATCTTTCTCTGCTTCTTTCTCCAGTGTTCCATCGAGTGTGGGAGCGGGACCCAACAGAGGGAGGTGATTTGTGTTAGGAAGAACGCTGACACCTTTGAAGTGCTGGACCCCTATGAATGTTCCTTCCTGGAGAGACCCCCCAGCCAGCAATCCTGCCACCTCAAGCCCTGCGGAGCCAAATGGTTTAACACAGAATGGAGCATGGTAAGTCCCGGTGCTTTTGGTAGAGGTTGTGTTAGTACATCATTATGCTTCCCCCCTCCCCCCCGCACTGTTGAGCCGCCTACTGGGTACCAGGCACTGGGCTCAGCCCTCGAGTAGATTCCCTGCAGCAATCAGCTCTACTTGGTCACAGCCAGGGTGCCCTGGACTCAGCCTGCTTGGCGGGGAGTGGGGAGCCTGAGACTGGGACAATCTTGATTTCTAAACTATAGAGGCCATAAAATAGTGACTCTTAAATTTTTGTGTGCATAAGAATCAGAGGGGATCTGTTTGAAATGGCCGATTCTGGGTCCAACGTGGCCAAGGCATTTGCTCCTTAGGTGAGTTGGCTACAGGTGTAACCAACGTTTTGAGAAATACTGCTGCAGAGGTTTGATGGCTGAAAGGATTCAGGGATGCTGTTGAGAATACAACATCATGAAGTGATCTTGTTATAAATCCCACTGGAGGAATTTCTGTCAGGCCTCCATACCTGTGTGTGTGTGTGTGTGTGTGTGTGTGTGTGTGTTGTACACTTTTTTTAAAATCCTATAGACAATATGGATTATGGGACTGATCCTGTTTTTCTTTTTGAATTGGCTACTAGGAAACTCAGAGCCAAAACTGTGGCCCATCTCTGAGAGAGAGTTTATCCGAATATACAAAGTGACTTATAGGTGCTAATGTTCTCTGGCTTCTCTTTCTCTTTCCTACTTTTATCTTCTTTTTACCCCAGTTTCCTCACTTATTTTTTATCTTGTGGCCCTCTTATGTATTTCTTAAGCCATCTCAAATCCTTTTTGTACGGAAGGAGGGTAAATGAAGAAAGACAGAGCTACAGAGAGACAGAGTGAATAGAGAACTAGGTTAGTAAGGAATGAAATGGAAAAGGATGGAAACAGTGATAAAATTCTTTTTTTTTTCAAGTGAAAGAGTTTATTGTTAAGAAACTTCCTAAAACAGAAAAATTCCTGAGGTCATCGTTCCCAGTGACCATTTCATATGACTTGGACACAAGGGGGCCAGTGTTCGTTCTGCTTTTTGTCAGGGAAGATCGTCAAGCAGTGGCTGTAGGTGACCCCAGAGTAGAGGCCAGAGCCTTCCTCAAAATCATTCAAAGGTGATCAAAGGGATTTTCTTATAAAATATGTGGATAAAAGCTGAGAATTCTGTTTTCAGACAGTGTATGGCAGCCATTTGGGTATGTGGTGAACCACACCTTGGGTGCAAATGCGAATAAAGGAGGTGTTGAGTTTCAAAGATGTTTTGCCAACTTCTGGGAAATACCATTTTATTATTTTGATATTGACCAAGGCCCTTGAGAAAGCAGGAACAGATCACTATTTTCTTCTGCCATTCTGCTTAGAGAGTCTAGAAAGGGCCAAACTCACCAGGCCACGTCAAAGGCCACCAACTCCAAAGACACCTGCCTTGCCTGGGAACAACCTAGACGTCCCTCAGCAGGTCAGTGGATAAACAAAATGCAGTGCGTCCAAACAATGGGGTACCACTCAGCAGCAAGAACGAATGAACTGATACCTCCCACGACTTGGAGGAAATTCAGATGCATTTTGCTAAATGAAAGAAAGAGCCCCCCCAAAACTGTATGTTGTATGATTACATTTACATAATATTCTATAAAAGGAAAAACTATAGGTACAGAGACCAGATCAGTGATTGCCAGAGGATGGAGCAGGGTGAATCTCACTACAAAGGGACAACACAAGAGGATTCGTTGTGTGTGATGAAAGTTCTGTCTTGTTTGCAGTGGGAGATACATGACTCTCTGAATTTGTCACAACTCAGAACTGTGCACCACAAAAACTGAATTTTTCTGCATGTAAATTTAAAAATAAATAAGTGAACTGAAACTAATATGAAATATATAGTTACTATAGTAGCAAAGATGATGGAAGCAAGACATTTTTTAATTTACCTTGTTTTATAAATTTTGAGTTTGGAACTAAGTAAATATTTTATATAATTATAAAACAGGGACTTCCCTGGTGGTGCAGTGGTTAAGAATCCTCCTGCCAACGCAGGGGACACAGGTTCGAGCCCTAGTCCAGGAGGATGCCACATGCCGCAGAGCAGCTAAGCCCGTGCGCCACAACTACTGAGCCTGCGCTCTAGAGCCCACGTGCCACAACTACTGAAGCCCACGTGCCTAGAGCCCATGCTCCACAGCAAGAGAAGCCACCGCAATGAGAAGCCCACGCACCACAATGAAGAGTAGCCCCTGCTCGCCACAACTAAAGAAAGCCCACGCACAGCAACGAAGACCCAACACAGCCAAAAAAAAAAAATTTTTTTAACAAAATTATTCTTTTAAAAAAATAAATCCCTAAAAATGGAAAATGCAATGAAACAAATTAACCTAAATATGTATGCAGTTGGTGGCATCAGCACCCTTGCATGTGGCTGTAAACCATAGTAATTTGACTATCCATCCCTAAGGACAAAAAGGACTGCAGAAAAATGTTTGTAGTGTTTGCAATAATCACATTTTTAGTGATAGCTGGTGTCCTGTGTTCTGAGATGATTGGTTGTATAATGGGTGATAACGTAAATGAATAATCTACTTTATGGTACTGTGATAATATATGTACCAGTAAATATGCTAGTGTGATAGGAGAGCTCTATTATCCCCAGTATCCTTGAGAAATAGGATTCTCAACTTAGGAGAAAGAAGATACAGACCAAAAGTAGAAGAGATTTAAGTGAAAATCCTGTTGTCCTGAATTTGACTTAGAAATATCAGTATGAACTCACAAATTAATTTATCTTAATTTTTCCCTGTTTTATCCACTGAAAGAGCCTGGAAACAATGACCAACCCAGTAGCAAACGGCATACCTATCCGCCAGAATACGGTTTCAAAATGCCACTCGCCACTAAAAGGAACCAAGAATTCTTAGAGAAATGGCTGATTCCAGGTCTGTGACTGTTATAGGTATGAATTAGATCGGGATGTCTTTTCATACCAGGTAGCAAGGAGATTCTCAAAGACGAGTTCATGTCCAAAGGGCTCAAGAACCAACTTTTGGGCTCCTGATAGCCATTGATGGGGCATCAGTGAGCATCAGTAAAAATAATAACTACCGGGCTTCCCTGGTGGCGCAGTGGTTGAGAGTCCGCCTGCCGATGCAGGGGACATGGGTTCGTGCCCCAGTCCGGGAAGATCCCACAGGCCACAGAGCGGCTGGGCCCGTGAGCCATGGCCACTGAGCCTGCGCATCCGGAGCCTGTGCTCTGCAACGGGAGAGGCCGCGGCAGTGGGAGGCCCGCGTACCGCAAACAAAAAACAAACAAAAAATAATAATAACTACCATGGATTTAATGAAATACATCACATATGTTTAAATCCATCCATCTATAATGAGTTTGTAATGATAAAAAAAACTAATTAGAGGTTCCACCATTGGAGGATGCTAGGGGAACCAACTCATTATTCTGAAAACTGATAAATAAAAGAAAATAGTCAAGAATTTACCCTGTCTCTCCTAAACAAGCCATACCACTGTGTAACCAGAGAGTAAATATATGTGAGGAAGGGGTAGGGATTCTTTAGATTCTCAGCTTATAAAAGAAGAAGAGGTGTTAGGATATTATCACCATTTTTCAACCCCACATGAACTAATGGATCTGCTCACCAGTGGCTGCTGGCCCCCTCCAAAGAGGGACAACCATACACATCCTATGAAGCAGTCTCACCACAAAAAATCAAATCTGCACCTGTTAAGGCCTCTTCTGGATCCAGTTTCCAATTTGCAGGAAATGCAGAAGACAGAGGAACATCAAACAGTACCATGGGGATGCAGTCAGCAAAATCCTGACTATGGGAAACTCTACAGGACAAATGACTCAGTTCCTCCAATAAATAAAGTGTAAGGGGGAAGAAACACCGGGGAGGGGAACCCGTGGATTAAGGGTCGTAAAAGGCACGTCAACCAGCTGCAATATACAGACCTGATCCCCCCCCAAAAAAAACTCTGTTAAAAAAATTGAGATTCACAAGGCAAATGGAAATAGGAACGCTGAATATATCTTTGAAGATAAGGAGCTATTGTTGATTTCTAGGTGTAATAATGGTATCGTGGTAATTTTTTAAGAGTCTTTGTTTTTTAGAGCTACAAACAGAAATATTATGGAAGAAGTGATATGATATCTAGATTTGCTTCAAAATAATGGACCTGGGTGGGTACAGACGAGACATGGCTAGCCATGAGTGGATGCGTGTTGAAGCTGGTTGCTAGGTGCAGGGGAGTTTAATACTCTGTCTCCTTTGGTAGATGTCTGAAATTTTCTAATATCTGTCTTCTCCCGTGTGCTGAGCTAATGGGCTATCAAGAAATCTAACTTTCTTCCTTTCCCCGGGCAGTGTTCCAAGAGCTGCCAGGGCGGCTTCCGCGTCCGGGAAGTGCGCTGTCTGTCTGATGAGATGACCCTAAGTAATCTCTGTGACCCTCAGTTGAAACCAGAAGAGAAAGAATCTTGTAACCCTCAGGACTGCGTCCCTGAAGTTGGTAAGTAGGGGGAGTAAAATATTCATCTTTCTTAAGCTCCGTCCTGTTCTCTGGTATGAAAATGCCAGATTCATCTCGGTCTCTCTGTGACCTTGTGCCTAGTCATGGAGTTGAAGGGGGTCAGCATCCTTTGGGTATATATTTCATCGTTTAAGGTGCCTGTTGATAACACAGATGGCGATCCAAGCCACCCATCCACAGATAAACTTACATGGGAATTGATTAAAATGGCAATGCACTCAGAGATTTGGTTCCAGCATCCTTATGGCCAAAGTAGATAGATTTCAACTGCATGTTTAAAGATGAAGAAAAAAATATAAGCTCTCAGCCCACACTCACACCTCCCATCAATAATAAACAGCAGGACCAGGATGAAGAGCCACACCCACCGCCCTTCCTCCTTCCCTAAGTCCAGGCTGCCCCTCGTGCTCAGAGAGTCTTTTCTGTTCTCCTCTGCTACAGATGAAAACTGCAAGGACAGGTACTACAACTGCAACGTGGTGGTCCAGGCCAGGCTCTGCGTCTACAACTACTACAAGACCGCCTGCTGCGTCTCCTGCACGCGCGTGGCCAACAGGCACTCGGGCTTCCTGGGGAGCAGATAACACCCCGCTCCGCAACTGTGGGCAGGTCAGGGAGTCTGTGAGCAGTGGGACTGGCTGACTGCTGCCCCCTCCTGGGGGCTCCCTGGCCTGTGGAGCTGCCAGCCAACTTAGTCAGCACCCCACCTTCATAAAGTGTACACACGGTGCCCAGGAGCAAGGCCACAGTTGTCCTTTGAGCATCACCGTGAACTGCTGACCCCTCCTTCAGAGACCTGGCACCTGCGCTCTCTGCAGACCGAGCGGTGGGGACTGCGTGCAGCTCTCGGCCGACTCCCGTCCTGGCACTTTCTAAGTCAGCAGTCAGGCCCTGTCTGGGCACTGCCTAGCCCCAGTGCTGCTGGCCTTTCTAATACCAGCACCCCTTGGAGAACCAGAGGAGACAGTCCCCCCACCCCAGAGCCCCCCTAAGCCTTGCTAGGATGCCTGCATCCCTCTGTTACCTCAGCCCACCTGTGCCTATTTTTACTCTCAAAGACATTAGGCTCTTTTCCAGCCTTGTGGCACAAATATCTCATGCCAGTTTAGAGCTTTATTGTTTTGCAGGTATATTCAGAGATATTAGCTCATTAGCGGCTGTGAGCACAGCGCTCCAGAATGGGAGTCAGGGAATGAATCTTGTCCCCATTTTACTGACAAGGAAACTGAGACTGAACTTAGGTAACCTACCTGCCACGTTAGCAGGTAATTGACCCATTCAGTGACAGAGCTGAGTCCTGACCCCAGTCGTCTGACCACAAAGCCGTCACCCCCAGGCCTGTCCAGAAGGCTTAGGTCTGCAGTATGTGGCTTCATTTCAGACCTAGAAGCTGAGAAGTTTCCCATTCAGCAAACAAAGCCCAGACCTTTGAATTCTTTCCTCGGGCCAAAAGTCAAGTCTTTATCTCCTGTGCTCAGTTGTTTCAGGAGTCTGTTTCTTTTTTCCATTCCCCCACAAAGTCACAGGTCCTGGTGACAGGACTCCGCACAGTTTCTTAAACCCCATCCTTAATGGAACTATGCCATGAGGTAAGAAAGCCATTGGGGTAGAAAGGTGATTGCCTGAAATTCTGATTCCTCTCCCCAGTGGTACATGCCGCCCATGGAATCCTACATTGTGGACCCTTTGGCCTTTTGTCTCCCAGAGCAGATTTCCAGAGCACACAGCTCTGTCCCCTGGGCTCTCACCCCTTCCTCAGCCATCTCTTCTGGGTCCTTTCCCACACATCACCCAGTGGAAAGTCTAACCAACTGTCCCAGCAAAAGCCCTATATTTATATTAGAAAGAGTCTCCTTTGGGTCTTTCTGGTTTGTTTTGCAGATGTCTCTCTGTGACTTTTCATCCCTCCCTTCCCCCATGACTCACAACCCATATTCCCCCTCCCAGATGTGAGCACTAAGATCTATATTAATGCAGCCAGCCTGGGAAAAGGGGCTGTGAACTCCTCCACGATGGCCCCAGCGGCAGGGTCTTCCCTGATTCACTTCACATAACTCTGTAGTTCCCGAGGCCTGTGGCTGGAAGGGGAATGCAGTGCATATGAAAGATGAGCTATCTGAAGAATCAGTGAGGATAAAGAAGGGGGGACGTATATATATATAAATATATAAATATATAAATATATATATATATATATATATATATATATATATATATATATATTCTTACACCCACTAAGAAAAATAATCAGGCTGAACAAATTGGAAGCGTATCGAAAATTTATCTATTTAGTATTATGGTCCTGGGCGTATCTCCCTTTCAAAATAAGCATTTGCTTTGAAATTCATAGCAACTGAGTTTCTCCCGTGAGCCCTTTAACCCAAAAATCTGCTAATTTGGTGATGATTTGCAGCTTTTGGAAGAAGTATCACCAGCTCAGTCTTGCACACTCCCTTAGGTTCCCACTATCCTTGAGCTTTCAGAAATTCTATTTGGCCTTTTTATGTGACCTTCTCTTTCTGGAGAGCCCCAGCCATCATTTCCCCCAAAGCACCCTATCTCTCCTGATCCTTACGTAACTCATGCAATAAGCAGCAGGACAGAGGCCCAGATTCCTGGGCCCACCAAGCAAAGACAGACCAGAGAGGCCAAGCATATGGCTGGTTTCCATCCAGCACCCACTCTTTCCCTCTCGCCACTTGCCTTTGCTTCTCGTCCCAAGGGAGGGTTTCCTTTATGCAACTGCTCTCAGATGTTGCTGTACAAGCCAGTCATTTGAAGGATTCTTTGGAGGAAGCTTTCTTTACCTGCTGGAGGACAGAGCAAGATCAATGGGTGGAAGAGCAGAAAGGCTGATTTCAGCTCAGATTGTGGGAAAACCTTCTAGCCATCCAGGCTGCCCAGCGCAACAAAGGTATGGTGTCCTAATCAGTGAGCTCTCCAGCCTAAAAGGGATTTCTCCACCAAGTGGGAGGTGAGCATCCTGGGTCCTTCCAACTCAGGATTCTCACGACTGGGCTGGGTGACGGCTTTGTCTCTTTGACATCCAGCAGTGTCCTGTGGCTCCTAAATGTCACCTAAAAGTTATTTAAAGGGACAGTGGTCCTCTCATGAGAACGGCCATCCTGCCAGTTGTGGAATTGGATAGGAGCAAATAAATCAACCCCATGTCTTCAGGGGAAAGAAGTACTGAAACTAGGGGTCTTTTTTCTCTTGCAACAAATAGTTGAGTTAATCTTGGAATTCATTTATGTCTGGAAAGCTTATAAATTGCTAGATGAGGGCTTTTATCAGCTTGACTTGGAAATCCAATTTTTACTAATCTCCTTGTTTCTTATATCAACGTCTAAATGCCTTTGTTCTTAGCACAACACACATGATAATGTCCTTTAGTATTTTCAGTGACAATGTTCCTTTCTCCCTCCAGAGATGCCTCTTTCTCATTTTCTTGTCCCCTTATCTCATCCTCTCCTTCCCATGACCCACCATCTCCGTCTCAGTCCTCTGCCTTGTCCCTTAACTGGCTATGATGCAGAAATGAAATATACATTTTAATACAGCTTTTTTTTTTCTGTGTACCAGATTGCCTCAGTCCCTGCTCTGAATTTTGAAATTAGATAAATTAAAACTGTTCTGTGTTTTTCTCACAAAAAAAATCAACAAAACTGCAAACAGAAATAGTTTGCTTTTTTTTTTACTATCACTTATTAGAAAAGAAAAGTGTGCCTCTTGCAGCCTAGGCAAAAGCCATTCAGTGCAGCCCATTCTCCCCATCTCACGTAGACTCGCCTTTCTCGCCTTAGAAAAGGAACAGCATAAGAAATAGGGCATTTAAAAAAAAAAAAAAAAAAAAAAAATCTTGTAAACTTGGCCACTAGATGGCGTCAGTTCATTTCATTAACGGCGTGTACAGTGCCCCCTGCTTGCGAGCTGGTGGGGAAGCCAGATGAGCAGGGCCAATGCCCGCCCTAGAGGAGGTGCAGTGTGACAGAAGCGCTCAGAACTGTCCCTATCTGTCCCGTTGCCTTAATTCTCTGACCCAGGGCTCTTGGAGTGTGTATCGTTTACTCACCCTCAAAGTGTTTAGCATTCAACACTCTTTCCTTTAAAAAGAATGACCTTCCAGAGGGATGAAAATGAGGGACACTGGCTTCATTTCTTTTTGTCAAGCTGTGTGGCAGGGAGAGAAACCCAGATGTTACTAGTAACTTTCTAAACCAGTGGCTCTCTTTTTCTTTAATATAGCCACTTTAGAATTTGAATATCTGCTTTCTAATGTCAAAGACACAAATATCAGTGGTAAAAAGAAACATGACTTCCCTTGAAGCAGGCTGAATAGTCAAACCTGAGGGAACCTCTATCAGCCTGGCAGGTGGAGGCCAACATTTGATCCTGCCATAGGAAACACTCTTTACGTGGCTTAGATGGGAAATTAGACACCTTCCTGATGAAATTGGTGGATGCCAAGAAGCTGGAGAGGTAACGCTTGAATGACACGTTCTAGTACCAAAAAAAGTCTGGGAGACTAGAACGAAACCTGGGATCTTCAAAATTCACCAGGAAGCAACATAAAGTCCCACCTTTGGATTAAAACAGAAAACAATGCAAGTACAAGGTGGGGGAGATGCAAGAGTTTCAGTGGTTAAAGTTCAATGTGAGTCAAGAAAGTGGGATGGAACTACCCCCAAACACACACACACACACACACACACACAC